CAATTTTGACCCAAGACTGGGTCATCTTTCCTCACAGTCTCAGGCTTCAGAAAGTATTCTTGTCGCACCTAAACAGTCACCTTATGCCTAAACAATTTTCTGTACCTCATACATTTACCCTCCATGTCAGCATGTACCTGAGCAATCTGGCTAATGGCTAAGTCAGGTTATCACAGCTGGACTAACCTGTCAAACTCGATGACTCTAAGGCAGTAGTTAAGAAATTCAAGGATGGATAGGGCCACTGGTAGTAGAGCAATCCTTCTCCCCTCTTCTTACCTTTCATCACCCAGCACACATAAGCACACATACTCCATAAAATTCAAAAAACACCCTTAACTCATAAGTCCTCCATGCAAATTACCATTGGCCTTTGGGAATTTTCAACCCTTTTAAAGAAGTCTTTGGTCATGTAGGTATACAATAGAAACCATTGACTTTCTGATGTGGTGTCGGATAGATTAAGACAGATATGGATACAGAGTGGGTATATGTATATTTAGCTTATGTAACTTTAGGTACACCTGAAGGAGAGAAAGAAATAAAGAACAGTTTACAGAGTGAGAATAATTCTGCTCTCCATTCTACTGCATGTGCTTAGGACCAGAGTGATCGTCATATGAGATATGGCTTTCGTGCCGTCCTTAAGATCCTCATCTCTGCCAGAGCTCCAGTCATCAAGTTTTCATACCTTCACCCAGGAACAGAGAAATAGGAAAAAAGAAAAATTATACCTACCAAATGATTTTTCCCTCTCTCTGCTCCCAAATGCTCTCCTAGATGTTCCTCCAGTCACTCTACTTATACGGGAGATCAGGGGGGTTGCTATTTTCTGTTACTTTTTCAAACTGGGACCATTGATACTCCAATAAAATCAGGCTTCCTGGAGAAAATTTATACACACACACACACACACACACACACATAAAGAGGCAATGAGTAAAAAGCAGCCTCTGTTGTACACCACTTTTGTTTATTCTCACAGAGAGCTAGCTATACTTAGTCATTCCTGAATTGCTTTCGACCCATGAGCAATAAGGGAAAAAAGAACTATGCATTCTTTTTCTCACTTTCATAATATAAAAAAAATGAATAGAATATAATAATAGAGCAGCTAAATAAACCATAGCCCATTCATATTATGAAATATTATGCAGCCATAGAAATTTGGAGAAAAACCTTTATTAAAATGTAAAATACTCATTTTATACTAAGATGAAATAAATCAGCTTCAAAAACAAAATGTGTAGTATAATCTTATTTTGAAGGAAAAGTGTTACAAATGTATGTTTTGTGTGTTACAAAGGTGTTTTATACACACACATGTATACACACACATTAGAAAAAAGGGACTGGAAATACACACCAAAATCTTGATAGTGATTATCTTTAGAATATGGTATAATAAGAAATTTTAATTTTCTTTTTTTGAACTCTTCTGTATTTTCCAGTGTCTTAATAACACAGTTATCACTTTTGTTTTGAGTAAGCAAATGTCTTAAACTATATTTTAAAATTATTAGTGCCTTTTCAAGTTGAAAACATTCTGAGATAAAATCCAGCTATCTTTTGTGCAGCAAACCAATATGACATCTCTGTATATTTTTTAAGATTGTATTTGTTTGGTTATTTGTCACCAAATCTATTGCAAGGCATTTTAACTTAGGAATTATTAAACACAATCCTAAGTCTTTGAAGGAAATAGAAGAGTCATAAGATTCAGTAAGAGTTATTGCTGTCTTCTTTCTCTCAAAAATGCCAATTATCTCATTGCTTGTGCAATGAGTGAGCTTCTGGTATACTGTGAAAGACTATCAAGTGCTTTATGAGTTCTTTCTGCCCATTAAGCATAACTGATAGTGTGCTCAGTCACACAGTCACCCTCAGCCCTGAAACCCCATGGACTGGATCCCACCAGGGTCCTCTGTTCCCAGCACTCTTCAGGCAAGAATACTGGAGTGGGTCGCCATTTCCTACTCCAGGGTATCTTCCCGACCCGGGGATCTGGGTCTCCTCTATTGGTAGGTGGATTCTTTAATTAGTTATCTGTTGCTGAGGAACAAATTAGCTCAAAACTTAGCAATTTAAAGCAACAAGTACATGTACCCCAATGTTCACAGAAGCACTATTCACAGTAGCCAGGACATGGAAGCAACTTAGATATCCATCTACAGATGAATGGATAAGGATGATATGGTACATGTATACAGTGGAATATTACTCAGCCATAAAAGGGGCAAATTTGAGTCAGTTTTAGTGAGCTGGATGAACTTAGAACCTGTTATGCAGAGTGAAACAAGTCAGAGAGAGAAAAACAAATACCATATATTAATGGCTATATATGGGATATAGAAAAATGGTATTGATGAACCTACTTGCAGGGAGGGAATGGAGACACAGATGTAGAGAATGGTCTTGTGGACACAGATGGGGAAGAAGAGAGCGGGACACATGGAGAAAGTAGCATCAGCGTATATACACTGTCATGTATAAAATAGATAGCTGGTGAGAAGTTACTATATGACAAGGGAGCCCAGCCTGGCTCTCTATGACCTAGAGTGGCGGGATGGGGGAGGGGAGGGAGGCTCAAGAAGAAGGGAATATATGTATAATTATGGCAATTTCGGGTTGTTGTACAGCAATAACTAGCACAGAATTGTAAAACAATTTTCCTTCAATTAAAAAATAAATAAAAAAATAAGGCAGCAAATATTTCACTATTTCTCTTTTTAGGAATCTAGGTATAGCTTAGCTAATGTCTTGGCTCAGGGTTCCCCGCAATCAAGGTGTTGACTAGGGTTGCAATGTAATAAATGATAGTCATCTGAAGGTTCATCTGGGAAAGATCTGCTTCCAAACCCACACAGAATTGTTGGCAGGATTCAGTCCCTCCAGGCTGTGGACTAAGGACCTCAGATCTTCTCTGGCTACTGGCTGGAGACTTGCCTCAGTTTCTGGTCATGTTCAGCTCAGTTTGGTCGCTCAGTCATGTCCGACTTTTTATGATCCCATGGACTGCAGCACACCAGGCCTCCCTGTCCATCACCAACTCCCAGAGTTTACTCAAACTCATGTCCATTGAGTCGGTGATGCCATTCAACCATCTCATCTTCTGTTGTCCCCTTCTCCTCCTGCCTTCAATCTTGCTTAGTATCAGGGTCTTTTCTAATGAGTCAGCTCTTCCCATCAGGTGTCCAGAGTATTGGAGTTTCAGCTTCAGCATTAGTCTTTCCAATGAATATTCAGGACTGATATCCTTTAGGATGGACTGGTTTGATCTCCTTGCAGTCCAAGGGACTCTCAAGAGTCTTCTCCAACACCACAGTTCAAAAGGATCAATTCTTTGGCACTCAGCTTTCTTTATAATCCAACTCTCACATTCATACATGACTACTGGAAAAACCATAGCTTTGACTGGATGGAACTTTTTTGGCAAAGTAATGTCTCTGCTTTTTAATATGCTGTCTAGGTTGTTATAACTCCTCCTTATAAGGCAGTTCATAACATGGCAGCTGGTTTCAAATAGAGTGAGTGAGCAAGTAAGAGACTTGAGAAGATAAGCAAGATGCAAGCCTTTGTTGTCTAATCTTGGTGGTGACATTTTATCACTGAAATGTGTATTCTATTCATTAGAAGCAAATTACTAAGGCCAACCCACCCTCCTGGGCATGAATACTAGGACGGAAAGAGTCATCCCAGAGCTGTCAACCACACTAACCAAAACATGGTTTTCCAGCATTCTTATTTTAAAGTTGTATTCAAAGTTCTGTTACAAGGATATAGAAATCTGTTTGGCATCTTTGTCAACATATGTCTCTGTATTTTGAGGATAGGTGTAGGCTTTTACAAATCAGGGAGAAGAGTTCTGAGCAGAACTAAACTCAAGCTTTTGGAACCCACAGCATGAAGTTCTTCCTGGTTTTCAGGGCAGAGCGGCCCATTTGTGTACCACAAGTGGATGCTATTGTATTCTAGATCCTGATTTCCTTCTGGAGGTGGGTTTGACAATGTGTCCCAAGACTCCTGCCGAGGACAAGCAGAACAGTGTCCTTTACTTCCACTCTCTCAAAACGCAAGAACTGCAGTCAGGAGGTGCTTTACCACCTCCTTCAGCCAGCCACGTCAGAGCACACCCACACAGACTCGACATGAATGACGAGGCTATGGTCCTGCCGGGGAGTTAGCGTTCTGGATCCTAAATTACAGAGAGTGTGTGATTGGGAAGCTTGGATGGAGCCTTCTGGCTGTGTAGCTCCTGACCCGACATTAGCCCTAAATCTCTATTTTAATAATTATTCAGTGTTCCCATCCATTTGCAGCCAACATGGTTTTTTAAGGGACACCTAAGCTAGCTGTGCAGTAACTACAGTACAATGCATGCATGAAAGAGCAACACCAAGCAGATTTGAAAACTTTTTAATAGACTTCAAAGCCATTCATATCATCACAAGAAATGCCAACGTTACATTTATCAGTGAAAGGAAGAAGGAGCTATTAGTCTTTAAATATATTTTCAACAGCAGTGAATTTTTGAATTGCTATTTTTAAAAGTTTTTACTTTTTCGCTCACCCATTTGTGAACAGTTTCTCATTAATAGCGACTATCAAGAATCAGAAGAGCTCTTCACTAAAGAGCATTGATAAGAAATACATGTAGCCTTTTCAAGCAAAAATCACAACATAAATTGGGTCATGTTTACGGAAGCAAGATCAATTTTTTCATTAAAATTTCAAAATATTTTTTGGCAATTTCAGACAAATTCAAGGTCTGCTATCTTACCCTTATACTTTGTATTATACTTCTTTATCATAATTATAGTATAAATAAAATGTGATAGGTGGTTTTATCAAGTCCAACACAGAGGTTCCCAGATCTCAAGTTTATCCCAGTTTCAATATATGCTGTGACTTTAATAAAAAGTTTGTTTCTCAGCCTTTTACTTAACCTTTTATAAACTGCTCTGTGTTGATTCAATCTGGAGGTCTGTAAATTACATTTCTCAGGCTCTTTGCCAGCGGCTTCCTATTAGTATCTGCCAATGGCAGGCATTAGCAAAGATCAGAGGGTTGGAGGAAGGGAGAGATATCCTACTTCTAAATTCAGCAGCAGCAGCTCCCATGGCAGCAGAGAGGCAGTTTAGCTGCAGACTCCAGCAGGCAGGCAGCAGCAGAGGCTCTTTGTTGATTACAGCCTCAGCCATGGAGGGACAGTTGTGACGATTCCAGTCCCAGAAGTGGCAGCATTCAGAGCTGCCCAGTGGCTGGAATAGGCTCATGAGGGTCAAACTGGAAGGATCAGGAGTTTTCAGTTCTCCGTGCATCATCCCTTCCTCCTTTTACTCCTTCAGCTCTTCTGATTTTGTTGTTGTTGTTCAATCGCTAAGTCATGTCTGACTCTTTGTGACGCCACGGACTCCCTTCCTCGTCCTTCACTATCTCCTAAAGTTTGCTCAAATTCATGTCCATGGAGTTAGTGATGCTATCTAACCATCTCATCCTCTGCTGCCTCCTTATCCTTTGGCCTTCAATCTTTCCAAGCATCAGGGTCTTTTCAAATGAGTCGGCTCTTCTCATCAGGTGGCCAAAGTATTGGAGCTTTAGCGTCAGTCCTTCCAATGAATATTAGGATTGATTTCCTATAGGATTGACTGGCTTGCTCTCCTTGCTGTTCAAGGGATTCTCAAGAGTCTTCTCTAGCACCACAGTTTGAAAGCATCAGTTCTTCGGTGCTCAGCTTTCTTTATGGTCCAACTCTCACATATGACTACTGTATAAAAGATAGCTTTGACTATATGGACCTTTGTCAGCAAAGTGATGTCTCTGCTTTTTAGTATGCTGTCTAGGCTTGTCATAGCTTTTCTTCCAGGGATGAAGTGTCTTTTAATTTCATGGCTGCAGTCTCCATTCACAGTGATTTTGGAGCCCAAGAAAAAGTCTGTCACTGTTTCCACTTTCTCCCCTCTTATTTGCCATAAGGTAATGAGTCCAAATGCCATGATCTTAGTTTTCTGAATGTTGAGTTTTAAGCCATCATTTTCCCTCTCTTCTTTCAGCCATATCAAGGGGTTCTCTAGTTCCTCTTCTCTTTCTGCCATTAAAGTGGTATCATCTGCATATCTGAGGTTGTTGATATTTCTCCTTGCAATCTTGATTCCAGTTTGTCAGTCATCCAGCCCAGCATTTTGCATGATGTACTCTGCATAGAATAAGCAGGGTGACAATATGTAGTCTTGCTGTATTCCTTTCCAAATTTTGAACCAGTCGGTTGTTTCATGTCCAGTTCTAACTCTTGCTTCTTGACCCGCATACAGGTTTCTCAAGAGATAGGTAAGGTGGTATGTTACTCCCATCTCTTGAAGAACTTTCTACAGTTTGTTGTGATCCACACAGTCAAAAGCTTTAGTGTAGTCAATTAAGTAAAAGTAGGTGTTTTCCTGGAATTCCCTCACTTTCTCTATGACCCATTAAATTCCCCTTGTTTGAAATACCTGCCATGGTTTCTGTTTTCCTGACTGAATTCAGAATACTGTATTGAGTTTGATGTGAAGAGGAATTACTTTTCTATCATGAAAGGCCCTGACAGCTCCTGGGAAAGGAGGCAAGAATTTTGGGTCCAGTCTAGGGCCACAGGGAGTGTTTGAAGACGTGTCACTCCAGGCTGTCCTCTTCTTCCTAAAGCACGGAGAGAAGGTGCTGAGGATAGACAGTGGGCAAAGAAAGAAGGAAAAGATAAGGGCAGCAAATGACTTACAGATCTAATGAACAGGCCCTTAAAAGCCTCTGGGAAGTCCTGATTGCCTCAGTGAGAACTCCAAAATGAACCTCGGTATCAAAAAAAAATTCCTGTATTGTTGATCTCACACAGGTACAATCTCATCTCTTAGTTACAATCTATACTTCTCTTTGGTGTTTTCTTACTTGATATTATTAGCATCTTTGCATACCATTAGAAAATTAGTACCTCTAAAGAGCGTGTTGAATCCATTTATCCAGACAACCTGAATTACAAATATCAGATATTATTTTCCTAGAATCAAAGAAAAACTTCTAGAACTTGAAGTGTCCCTTCTCTTGGCTAACCAGCTATTGAATAAGAGAAGTGCTTTCGACATTCCTTATTTGATCTAAAATCAACAGAATAAAAGTTCTTAAAATACACACTATCATTCTAGAGAGATATAAATGTCACTTCTGTTTTAGACTCATTCTGTATCAACTGATTAGCTACATTCCAAGATATCTGTAGCATTTCCAGAAATGTCAACCTATTGGATAAGATATCATGTAAATTATATCTTACTCTTAAATTCCTCAAATACTTGCAGAAAAGGCAAATATGCTTATATTAATTACCTGCACAACTTAATGTCCATTTGCCTACATACAAGCAAGCTTTGCTGCCCAAGAATAGCACAATACAGCAGACTCAAACTGCAGCCTGCTGGCTCGGCATCTGCTTCGCAATGCTCTGGAGTGGCTGTTAGAGAATATCACAGGCTTTCTCCACTTCCTCATTGCCTCGGCCTCCCCTGGAGCCATGTGAGAATGGAACAGTGTTCAAGGCAAAGGCTCATTCCTGGAGAACCTGGGTAGGCATAGAATATTCCAGCATGGCTGAGAAGAAGAAAGCGATTAATTATATATTCTTTCTGCCCTATTTATTTTGACTTTCATTGAAATGAAATCTCCGCAGAGAAAAGTTCATTTTGCTTTAAACCCCAAACTGTCCATTCCTAGTACTGGGCTGGTGATTGGATAGGAAACATTATACTCAGAGCTAGCGTGTGAACTGTAGCCATTCTTTACCCCTGTTGTGTGAGGTGTGTGGGATGTGTGTGAAATGGCAATGATGCTCAGCTTGCCTTTTGGAGTCATTGTGGTATCTACATATTTTTAATGACTTTTGATGTAGTGATTTCCAGTAAGGCTTGTTTGCAAAAGTAGAAAGAGAGTCAATTTGTAAATTCAAAGGTCACAGTTGATATTAATCTTAATGCAATCATATTAAATTTGTGCAGGTTAACTTTGCAGAACAGTAGCCCAAAGATTCCTTGTATAATAGCAGATCTCTGTCTTCCTAGGGTCTCTTTAACAATTCAAGTTCAAAGATCTTATTTAATCCAGAATTGTGTAAATGTCCTTTTGCAATATGTTTTCTTTCTGAGACTTACTCTGTATCAGATTCTTAAGTTTATGCTTGATGCTAATGTGCATTTGACCATATTTCCCAAAAATCTTCCTATAGTTATTTTTATACCACCACCCACCACCTTTATTTATGTATTTCTTGTACTTATGTTTTTCTGCTTGGATTGCTCAAGAGTCTGCTGTGACAGCAGAAGTGAGCTGAGAACTTCACATACTCAAGGTCATCGCCACCAAAGGCTCTGCATTATCACATGCTATCTGTCATCACTAGGGGAAAAATATCGCACTTCCACCTGCCTGCAGCCCAGCCCTACTCTGAAGTGTCTTTCTAACCATATAGGATCTCAGAAGGTGTGGTTTGCCTTCAGATGTGGTTTACCATCAGATAATACCAAAAGTCCTGAGGGTCTATGTGAATATGCTGTCTTCCTTAATAAAAAATAAGACTGACACTCTTTGGAGAGTCTGGCAAAAGAGACAGCTAAACTACCAGGGCTTTGCACTGCTCACGAAATTCACCTTTCCCTTGAGAAAGATAACCTCTTTGCATTCTGATCACAAAGAAGTTAGTATTTCCTAGCGCAACTGAAACAACGTCTTTTGATTCAAGGTAGGGAGGTCACAAAGGGGAAACGGAGCACATAGTCCCGGGAAGAGGAAGCAGGGTTCTCCAGAGAGGTGCTCACACAGCTCAGAACAAGCGGCCTCCCTGGGGCAGAGGATGAAAATACTAGGGTGCTCTACATCTGTCTTTTACGTCAGCCTTTGAAACTTGACGTGTATGTTCTGTGATGTACAGAGAATGTCAGTGTAATGTACGTGGGCTCCCCAGGTGTCTCTGTGGTAAATAATCTGCCTGCCAGTGTAGGAGAGGCAGGAGACATGGGCTGGATCCCTGGGTGGAGAAGATGCCCCTGGAGAAGGAAATGGCATCTCATTCCTGCATTCTTGCCTGGGAAATCCCATGGACAGAAAAGCCTGGTGGGCTATAGTCCACAGGGCGGCAGGAGCATTGGACGTGACCTAGTGACTAAACAACAACAGTGTGTGTGTGTGTGACATGTACATTTGTACACATAGCGTCGAAAATACATGTTCAAGTTTGTTTTGGGGTGCACAATTCAGAACATTTGGTGACCACTGGTTCAAATGTTATATACATGTATACAGCTTATAAACGGTGGATGGTTTTCTGTCTCATAAAAAACAAAAATTCTTGTTTAACAATTTGCTCTTGCTTAGTCAAATATTAAGGTCAAAGGAAAAGGAGAGGAAGACTTGTTATTATTTTTAGAGACACACATCAAGGGAGGTGGAAGACACAGTAATCTATTTTTGCTGCAGACACACAGAGGACATAATGTCAATTCTGCCTTGAGACAGATTGGGAAGGGTTTATGAAAACGGATCTCAAAAGAAGTTTGGCTTAAAAAATGGTAATAGAATCTCGACAAGAAAAGGTGGGTAAGGACCTTCTGAGAGGGAATTGACAGCATAGACAAAGGAAAAAGAAGGCAAAAATATCAGGCTTCTTCAGCAGGCAGTGTGAGGTTCTATGTGGCTAAAAGTACAGTACAAAAAGTAAGAGAGAATCAGACTGATGGCTGAAGCCAGTTCATGGAGGCCTTGAATGCCTTGCTAAGCAATTTAATATTATTCTGAAATCATTGAGAAAAAAAAACACAAGTTGTCTTGATTTTAAACCTAGACACTCATTTATTCCACAATTTGCATTCGGAAGATGAACTTGGCAGCACTGGGTATCAGTGTGACTGGGGAAAGAACAATTAGAGAAACAATTGTCAAGAGGAGGGCACGGTGGCCTAAATTACAAATTTGGTGGTGGTGAGAATGCAGAGCACACATTCAGGAGACATTATAGAGATACATTTGGAAGGACTATCAGCCAGCCAGATGGGAGTGTTTTGATTCTAAAATGATCAGATTAGGGAACTGGAAGCATGGTGGTACCATTGCCTGAAATCGAGCTTCAAGGAAGAGTAGGTCTTGGATTAACAGTAAGGGGAGGGTGACTTTGGTCAGGTTTACTAAGATGATGGAAATTTGTATGCAGGAATTTGGGGGAGTTTGATAATTTGCTAGGAGGGATAACAGGGGTTGGTATATGGTTGCATTCACAGATATAATTAATCACAGTAAAAGGATATAAGGAAAA